TACGGGTACATCACCATGGCGCAAGCGCTGCAGTTCACATCCGATTTCAAGCTCGGGCACTACATGAAGATCCCGTGCGTCCGCCGTTCTCTCCGTCCCCCGCTCTGTGCCGCCTGACACCCCCGCTCCCTGCAGCCCGCGCGTGATGTTCTGGGCACAGGTCGTCGCGGCGGTGATCGCGGGCACGGTGCAGCTCGGCGTGCAGGCGTGGATGTTCACGAACATCGAGGGCATGTGCGACCCGCACCAGAAGGACGGCTTCATCTGCCCCGGGACGGAGGTGTTCGGGACCGCGTCCATCATCTGGGGCGTCATCGGCCCGCAGCGGCAGTTCTCGCACGGCCAGATCTACTACGGCCTCCTCTTCTTCTTCCTCGCGGGCGCGGCCGCGCCCGCGGTGGTCTACGCGCTCTCCCTGCGCTGGCCGAACTCGTTCCTCCGCTACGTGAACTTCCCCGTCATCCTCAACGGCACGAGCTACATCCCGCCCGCGTCCGCGCTCAACTACGTCCCCTGGGCGATCGTCGGGTTCGTGTTCAACTACGTCATCCGCCGCCGCCACTTCTCCTGGTGGACAAAGTACAACTGTGAGTGTCCGCCTTCCCCGCACCGCACCGCACCCCCCCCCCCGCTTTTTTTATATTACGTTTTCTGTTGCTGCTGTGCAGAGCGCGCGTGTGCTGACCGGCGCGGTTGTGTGCGTGGCAGATATCCTGTCCGCGGGGCTGGACTCGGGCGTCGCGGTGTCGATCATCGTCGTCTACTTCGCGCTGCAGTACCCGGACAACGGCGCGATCGGGCTCAACACCATCCAGGCCTGGTGGGGGAACACCGTCTCGGTCAACACCGCGGACTACGGCCCCCGCGGCGGCGGCACGCCGCTCCTGACCATGCCCTCGGGCGTCCCCTTCGGGTACGTTGCAACGCTCGAGGCTGGCGTTGGATGTGGCCGCTTGCTGACCGCGTGTGACAGGCCTAAGACGTGGTGATCGGGTCGGGTCCGTGTACGATATCTGTGTATGTAGAAGCTGTGTTGTACTGGCTGGTGGGCGCCACCGGCCTGTTGTACCGTACCATACGGCGATGTGATGGTTTGGGGGTTGCATCCCGGGTCCTGCGACAGATGTTGCCGCCCGTCTTCACGCGAACGCGCTGGCGTGCACAAGCACGGCAGCAAGGGCAGCAGACAGCGGGAACACGTGTGCAGTCGAGTGTTCTTGTGTACTACGTACGTAGGAACACCGGGGCAGCCGGGACGAGCAAACGCACTGTCTCTCGTGGCAACACACTAGCCTAGACACTTTTCGGAGCCGCCGTCTGTGCCCGCGCGGCGGGTGCGCAGGCTCTAGGCCGACACCCACCTTCAGGACGCAGACGCTCACTGGTCCACGACACCCGAGGAGGTGATGGTGACCCTTGCCTTCGGACGGCCGGACTCGGAGCCGACCGCCTCGATCGCCTTCACGACGTCCATGCCCTCCGCGACCTCACCGAACACGACGTGCTTGCCGTCGAGCCACGAGGTGACGACGGTCGTGATGAAAAACTGGAACGCGCGGCGTCAGTCACTCACGAGTGTCTCCTGGGGGGCGCCCGCGGCGCCCCGGGACCCGCGTGCGTACCTGGGAGCCGTTCGTGTTCGGGCCCGCGTTCGCCATGGAGAGCAGGCCGGGCTTGTCGTGCCGGAGCTTGAAGTTCTCGTCTGCAGAGGGATGGCACCGGTCAGCGGGAGCACGGGCGCCGCGCCGGGCAGGACGCGACGCACCTGCGAACTTCTCGCCGTAGATCGACTTGCCGCCAGTGCCATTATGGCGTGTGAAGTCGCCGCCCTGGAGCATGAACTGTGCACGGCGCGCGTCCCATTGTTAGCAAACGGCCCGTTCTGCACTCGGGGCGCGCAAGAGCGCGTCCGAGCGCGTTGGGACTCACGCTGGGGATGATGCGGTGGAAGCCGCTGCCGGCGTAGCCGAAGCCGTGCTGGCCCGTGGCGAGCTCGCGGAAGTTCTTCGCCGTCTTCGGCACGACGTCGTCGTACAGCTTGAAGGTAATGCGGCCGACAGGCTTCGACTCGATGGCGACGTCGAACTGTTATAGAACGCAAGTCACCCGGTGCGCGTTTCGTGCGTTCTGACGCGGGGACACTCACGAAGACTTTAGACCTGGCGGGGAGGGATACGAGTTGACACGTCTGTACGTTGCGGCAGCAGTGCTTCTGGCACTCACATGGGCGTTGACGAGGCTGAGGCCGAGGTGGCAAAACGGCGGAGGAAGGAGGCCATGGCGGTGGAGGAGGAGGTGGAGGAGGAGGTGGAAGTAGCGGACAAGGTGGATGAGCGGAAGCCGGGGAACTCGCGGCACGGCGAAGCGCCCGACACTCACCACGTGGGACGAGACGGAAAGTGCGAGGTTCTCGGAGAAGTGTGGTGGGCAGAGGGACGCTGGCGTGGGCTCGGGCTAGTAGAATGCAACTTGGCGAGATGATACTCACATCCAGACACGAACAGCGCGATCTTATATACATGCACGGTGGCGCCAGAAGCTGATCAGAACCGCGTCCGTTCCCTTCATCATCATCGCGCAAAATGTCCAACCGAGGGCCACTCGCAGCGCACGAAGCCTGCGCCCATGCCCGCCACTCCCCCGACGAGACCACGAATGAATCCGCCGGGGAACGGGGGTCCCTTCTCCTTCATGCGCCTGGCTCTAGATCCCTTCCCCGGATGGCTGCAAGAGACAAAATCCGGGCCACGATACCCACGTGTTGATGTCATTCCGACATCCCAGTCCGCGAACGTAGCGTTCCCCATCCTTCGATGGCATTAGACGGCACCATTGCGGAAGGCCAATCGTCCGCGGCAGCGACGTCTGCCGGCCAATAGCCTTCTAGAACGGCCGTAGCGCTTCCCCGTGGAGGGCTGGGGCAGTGGCAACTGCGGGAAGAAGCCCTCCGGTGACGATCGGTGTTGCTAGGCCTCGGGCACATGTTCGAGCGATAGGACGTTCGAACCTCGGCGGGGGAGGAGAAGGACAGGGCCCGGTTCGGCATCGTGCCGGTGCACAAGCAGGACCGTGCTGTACAGATGCCGCGCAGACGCACAGCGGCAGCGGCACTATACTCACGACGCGTGCGCGGAATATCCTCGACGTGCGAGCGCCGGGGCCTCGCCCGGCGGCGGACGCGGGCCTCGGTGGGGTGCATAGATAGATGGCCCCCACTGTGTCCTCCCGGGCAGCACCTCGTACGGCCCGCCGCTGGGTTCTCCTGCTGCGCCCGGGGGGCGTCGACGATCAGAGAACGGAAGGCCGGGGAGACGGGAACGAGGACGCGCGCGGCGTTGGGCGAAGCCCACGCCAAACTGACGCGGCGCGGCGCGGGCGAGATAGCAAGCCCTGTTTGCCGGCGTGCGTGAGGGGCTCCCGAGGGAAATGTACGGGAGGGAAGAGTGGTGCGTACGGGACGCGCGGTGCTGCGGGCTTGATTGGCCCATCAGGCCGTCGACGAGGACGAAGCGGCACGTCGCGCACGCCCATGAGCCATGGCCACCTGCCCTCTCTCCCCCTCCCCGAGTCTCTCATCCTCCACGCCGGCGATGCCCTGAGACCGTCCGGGGGGGAGGGGAGCGGGTGCTCAGGTGGGACGGACTCTGCACCGCCATCTGCGCAGCAGCTGATGTCGCCATCGCCAAATACAGCCGCGGCCAATCTCTCGAGAGCCGTAGGGCTGGCTGGGAGGCCTCCTCCCCCTTCGGCGGGCATGGCAGGGCTGCCGCCGCTGCCAGTGCTAGCGCGGGCGTGTCGAGAGAAGCTGAATCGGAGTGCTTCCCGCGGCCACGACTGCAGCCATATCGCCGCCTTTGGGCTCGGGGTCGACGTTCAGTTCGGCAGCGAGCCCCCCTTCGCGAAGGGTGCGACGGTCCGAGCCGCGTGGAATTTGTAGTAGCGGTCGTGGGCGAGCCTCATCGATAAGGCGGGCAGGGGGGCAGAGCGGCGGACGGGCGATGGGGCGATCGCCCGCAAACAGGAGTGCGCTCGTCCTGGAGGGAATCCGGGAGTTCCGCCAGGTACGCGGTCACGAGCGTCGTGACAGACGCGTCTCGGACGCCTGCGCCTAGATGCGTCCACCCGGTAGCGGGTAACGAATGCTGCCCTCCGTGCCAATCAAAGGCGGCGCGCTGCATGGCTGGAGCCTAGACCGAAGGTGTGAGCAAGTCAACGTTCAGGGTGCAGAAGGAAGCCTGATGCACTATTTCCGCTGGGTTCGGGGATTCCATGAACCCGTTGACAGCACCCAAGAGTTGAGTACCGTCAATGTTCCCCAACAGGTGGAGCGATGAGTTGCTCTGGCATGTGTTGTCGGACTGCGGACTTCAGAGACAGGTCGCCGCGAAAACCCTCGCATCGGGTCCTGTGTCTATATCACGTGTCGAACTCGAAAGCATGCCGTTCGCGTATGGGCCTTCTTTCGATATCTTGCCCGTAGCTTTTCCGGTCGGTGGGGGAAGGATCGAATGTATATTGGGAGAGCACACATGACTTTCTGTAGACGAGGAAGCGGCTCACCAGACAACGCGAAAACTGAGCAGCAGTTTATAGGTTGATATATCAGGTTTTCTTCTCCGACCAGAACAATGTCCGCACTCATCATCCGCTAACGTGGGAGATGTGCATGGCCGTTTGTTAGACTGTTTCCCGCGAAAACTTCCAGACAAAAGGCGCTGTGTCGCGAGTTGTGTTGGCAGGCTGTAGGACCGATGTCGCACTATGCCTGTGAGCACTGCCGCTGTTTCTCAATGAAAGAAGAAAAATATCGTACATGTGACATGCGAGTGCGTATTTGTCGCAGAGGTGTGCGGTTACTTAGAGTGTTTCGACACTAAGAGTCTGCCACGTTGACACAACATCGGGTCAGGCCGCACTTGCCCCGCATCGAGCCAGGAAAGCTCTCGCCCAGCGTCAGTGCGCTGAACGCATCGCCAAGACGTCAGGAAGAGCGTTTTCTGGTCCCTGTCGATTAGTGGTTAGATCATCACATTGTGGCACACACAATACTGTGAAGACGCAGGCTCGACTCCTGCCCGGGACATTTTTGTTCTTCCTGTCGGTGGGCGTGAAAGCAGATGAGGACAGCAGCGCAATGGACCCAGTGGGCGTATCTTGAGGAAGGGCACTCACTGCTAGGGTCGGCAATCTCGGACTCGCCTCACTGGGCGTGGTTCGGTAGGGATATCGACTGGTTCGACGTCAATAACCCAACCTCGTAGCAGCGAGGGGCGCGAAACTGTGCTTGCAATCAAAAATGCTCTACTCCTAGGATACTACTACTTGATGTGAGAGGACGCCGAGAAGCCCGATGGGGCCTCTCATGTACTCAAGCCGTCGGACCGACACTGAGAAATGTATGAAAAGCATGCAGGAGCTGGGTGTGACATTCCCATAGGATGCACTTACGGCACAGTATAAGACGTACCAGTCGCGCCGTATCCGTGCATATTTGTGATGAACGATGAGGACGTCGACACGGTGGTGGTGGACGCTGCAGTGGAAGTCGAAGGTTTGTCGAAGGTGCCAGTGGTGACTGAGCCGATCCCGGATTTGGGAGGTATGTTGCTTGGCGGATTAGGTAAGGCGGTGCTCCCACTGCCTCCTCGACTCGCCTCTCCCCACATATTCTTGGGCCCCGCAGTCTATCCACATTCTCATTCACGACGACCACGAGCGACTCACGACTCACGAATACAACTTGTACTCTCCAGGCCGTCTATATCCAATCCCCACAGGCAATGCGAGGTGAGTCGTGTAGCGCTCAGCGAAGCTTCAGATGACTGACGACGCATGGCGCCCAGACCGCAGAACTCGCACAGTTGCGTATGCGGCGACCGTCGTCTACGCACTCTCTGCACTCCCGAGCGCAAATGCGTACTGTTATATCGATCGGTGAGCTACATTTCTGCATTGTGTCGAGGCTAGACCGTGAGATGGAACGATGCCGTGTGGTTTAGCACTGCACAGCCTTGTTCTGTTGGAGTTTGGACGGCCGGGGTGATCGTCTCGACTCGATGATGTCGCGACTGCCGTGACCTCAGCGCTCTGCTCTTTGTGTTAGAGCGAGCTGCAAACCCTCCTTGCCCCCTCCGGGATGGCTGCATGTCGTAAAGAGTATTGCCAGATCGTGGCATGTGCGACGCGCCCCGCTTTGTATGATGTCGTGTTGAGGGGCATTTATGTCCTGTTGACCTGGCCGATGGGGTATGGCCTGAACGTAAGAACGTGCGTTTCGAGGACTTGCCCTGTGGGAAACGTGCTGGCTATGCAGTGTCAACGATCGAACTTACAACAGCCTACCATCCTGCTTGTATGTGAACACCATGACTGATGGTTTGCAACAGCTTCGGTATCGAGCGTTGTAGGCTGTCGACCGGGGCTCGAATCGGCATTGCCATAGCCGCAGGTAAGAGAGTCGACTCCCAACCCATGGCGCTCACTTACCCCGTTTGTAGTTGTTGCCTTCCTACTTGCTCTCGTCGCGTTTCGTACTGCGCGTGTACGATCTGCCCGCCGTGCTAATCTCACATACGTTGGTACCGTGCCCGCCGGCGGCGCACCCCCACCCCAAGGCCAGCCGTACCAAGGCTACCCAGCACCTGGTCCCAATGGCTACCCCGCCCCGGGTTCGAACGGCTATTTCCCCAATCAAGACGCTTACGCTCCTCAGTACCCGCCGCAGACATACAGCGGGCAGAGCCCCTACCCTTCGGTCGGTTTTTAGAGATATGATCATGTTCTTTACGAGCGCTGACTTCGACTTCCCAGCCCAACCCGGCTCCGGGTAACCTGCCGCAATACGCACCCCCGCCTGGTCCTCCTCCGAACGTGCAGGGCACGCCGCCGCAGTATGCCCCTCCTCCAGGGCCTCCCCCTGGCGCCGAGCAGAAGCATTGAGCGAAGAGTCTGATCAGGGGCAGTGATGACTGACGTAGTTGGTGCAAGAATTGACATACCATTTTACCGGACTATAGCGTTGCCGCGGAGTTACGCACGGATGTTCCCTGACATTACCTTGGGCCCTGACCGGCTCTTGCTACGATAGCCACACTGTCAGTACGCTGTAGACTATTTCGACGTGTTGTATGGATGGTGAGAGAAGACCGCCTTTGTTCCGCAAGAGTCTGAAGGGAAGAAGTGCGAAGGGCGTTTCAGAATGTCGCCGTTGTCAACGGCAGGAAGAGGGAAATTGCCGCGTGGCTCGCTTGCCTCCATCAATTCCCCCTGTCGGCTCCCACCACCACCACCATCGTCCCGTCCTCGTCGTGCTCAGCACATCCTGCCTCCCCGTCATTCCCTTCTTTCTTGATGCCGAGTTTGTTCTCTCGTGCCCGTACCACATCGACTCCGACAAAGAAATCAGCGTTCGACCTCAGCGCGCAGGACGAATTCGGGCGCATCTCCAGCAGAGGCTCAGCCCGGCACGCTGTCCAGCAGCACCTCGTAACCGCGAAGAAGGCTGGGAAAAGGGACGGGAAGAGCACCCCCAAGGGGCGTTCTGCCGTTGCGGAGGATGAGCAGCAGGACTACGGTCCTCCAGATGGCACGTTTCTCCCGCTGAGGCTCGACAAGCCGCGGTACGAGAGCAGCGACGAGCCCAGGCAGCAAGAGCCGCCCCCGCCCCACGACTATGGCTACCTATCGTACGGGCGGCATGTCATCCTCGGGCTCGACGAGGTTGCGCGGCTCGTCGATGTGGTGGGGGAGGAGCTGGGCACGCGGGGATTGACGACCCCCTTCATCTTCTCGACGCTCGCCCTCGACGTCTCCGCCCCGGCGGTCAAGCGGCTTATCCACACGTTCTTGAACACCTGTGCGAAGCACTCAGTTGAGGCGGACCGCCAATGGCGAGAGGAGGCGCGGCTCGCGGGTCCTCACGAGCTCGGAATGACTCTCCGATGGGGCCTCGCTCGCCTAGTGCGCTGGGTCGGCGGGCATCAAGTGCGCGGTCTCGTCTCATACGATGCCTACAGCGAATGGCGAGACTCTGAAGCCGGTGCGTCTGTCTGTGTATCTCGTTTAGCATCCCGTCTGACTATCTCCAGCGCTGAACTACCCGGGCCTGCACTTTTCTGCATTCATCGACCCGCTCGACCCGCTCTTGCGCTCCATCCTCGTCGGGCTTTTCACACTGCTCAGCCGGTTCGCTGCTCACTCCGCGTCTTCGGGGCACACACCTCCCACTCTCTCGCCGCTATTCGGGCCGCTCTTGTTTGGCCTCGGACCATCGACGCTCAACTTCCATCATGCGTACTTGCACTATCTCCGCGCAGCGACCGCGACTGAGCATTTGATACTTGCTTTCATTCGGTGGCAAGACACCAAGGCCAGCACGACACCAGCCCTTGGCGTTCCCACCCGCCTCAAGGCATGGATCCAGGGCTACCCTTCGATGTTGCCCAGTATCACCAGGCAAGACCGGCCCCAGCCCCGTCGCGGGGCCCGCACTGTTCGCATTCTGAGCGTGCGGCGGAATGTGCGGATGTACTCGCCGGATCTTGTCAAGACCGCCGCGTCGTGGGCGCAGCGCCCCCGCGGCGCAGTCTCGAACGCGGGAGAACGTGCGTTTGCAGGTTCCCGCGAATGGGAGCGCATCGCGCCGCCGACGCTCAAGCTCCCGCCCCGGTACTCCGACGCGTACAAGAAGCGCATGGACCTGCCTCCGAACTTCCATCCAGACACGGGCGCTGGGGCGGCAACTCCGCCATCGCTGTCATCTTCCATCTCTTCCGCATCTTCTGTTGGATCAGCACTCTTCGACGAAAAGGAGCACGGCTTGACAGGCGGCGAGGACCGGTTCCGGAGCCTGACGGACCTGCGGTGGGGAGAATTCGAGGCGATGGGCTTTGGCAGCCTCGTCGCGGACGAGAAGAAGCTGCAGTTCGACCTCACCGAGAGCGCACGCGCGGTATGTGACACTCGCACATCACCCCTTCCATACATGTGGGACGGACGATTGATCATTGTTGCTTGTCACAGGCGCGTGCGGCGAAGCGTGCGACTCTCACTTGGCAGGACTTCTCGTCCTCGGGCTTCTCGCGGACGGACGCGCACCTCAGTGCGACCCTCCAGTTCAGCGCCCCGGTGGCGAACCAGATCAATGCATGGCCGAGCCAGTCTGCCGAGATGCACCGCAAGCTCAAGAAAGCGCAGAAGGCGCTGCCGCCGTTCGGCTGGGATACCGAGCCTGTCCTTGGCTCCGAAGAAGTGATCGAGGAGGCGTTCGTGGACGTGTTTTGCGATCTCATCTACGGTGGTGGCTGGATGGACGATGAGCGGCACGAGGAGACGGACCGAGAATGCAATTGGGCGTTGGTGAGTGCACGGTTATCACACAGGTTCCCGTAACCCCTTTCATGGTTTGCCGCTCCAAGGTCGAGTTTAAGTCGCTGCCCGTCACACGGACAACCACTGTCTCTGGCACTGCAGATCCACGCACGTCAACGTCGCTCATCCTGTTCGAGGAGTTCGTCCCCGCGGAGTACCGACAACAGCTTGCGTCCGCGGGTGCCAACCGCCGTCGACTACCCTCCCTATTCTCTGGAACGACCAAGTCCAAGTGGAAGCCCGCGACGACCCTGAACGGTCGGCCGTACGTGGTTGGACACGTGCCTCATAGTCCAAGCTACCGCGAGGTCGAATTTGAAGGTCTGTTGCGTTCGAACGGGAGCGCAACGAAGGTTATCTCCTTGAACCGTAGTCAAGAGGGAGAGCGACCCCCCGCTGCACTCACTTCCCCCAGCGTGATCGCGACTCCCGGCCACGAAGTAGCCGTCAACCCCCTCGCCAAGGTCATGAGCCCCGCATCGGTCTCCACTCCCACGAAGAGCGCCAGTCCTCAATTCCTGACGCCGCTGCGCACAGACTCGCCGATTCCGAGTCCCAAACTCCCGTCGAGTCCGGACAGTCGAAGCGGATCGCCAATGTTCAAGAAGAGCCATCGCTTCCGGCTTCCTACTGGGCTTCCATCGAGTCCTGCGCCGCCGCGGCGAGCTGGCCTCCCGCCGACGGAGTATGACCCGGTGGAGTTCGACACGCGGC